CCCCCCCCCCCCCCCCCCTCCTGGGCATAATTTCAGAATCCCTCTCCTCCCAGGAATTCCTTTTTGCCTTGCCTACACACAGAGTATGGTTCACAACATTTACCAGTAAGTAAATTTCATTTTTTTTTAAAGTAAATTTCAAATTTACCAGTAAGTAAATTTCATCATGACATACATATCATTTGCACCCACCACAAAGTGCACATACCAAATTCAACCAACATTCACGTTCCTAGATGAAATAAATCAACAGATTTTTTCACGCAAACACATGTACAGGGTGTCCCAAAAAAAAGTGACACTATAGAAATTATCTCATTGTTCTTAAGCCGCTCGTAAACGTGTGTGATTACACGCCTGGGAATTTAATTAACTTGTATTTACATTTAAGCATTTTAAAACGTTTTCGCTTTGTTCAAAAATTTTAACGCCCGAGTCAAGCAAAACGATTACCCTATAATAAACGGTTTGCTTTTTTATTTTAAATTCCAGAAGCAGAAGTTTATGGGCCTGTGGGATCAACTTAGTGCTAGGGCATTCAAATTATAACAATAGGATAATTTCTATGGTGTCACTTTTTTGGGACACCCTGTATAATTCATAAGGAACAGAAATGAATATTTATACATGTAGTTCCAAGACCAGCTGGCGGGATCAAAAAGTGTTTTCCCGGTTATTCGTGTAGCCTGATGAGAACATGACCACAGAATAAAGATCAGTAACAGAAGGGCTACTCAGTGGTGCAACGTGTCCGCATTTTTTTATTAAAAAATATGCAGTTTACTGGCTAGAAGGCGGAGCAGCCAGCCAGTACAGTGTGTTTATTGGCCGGAAGATGTCATTGACTGGCTAGGAAAATGGCGGCCGTAATGCGACATGCGAGAGGGCAGAAACTTCATGCGAGAGGACAGAAACTTCATGCGAGAGGACAGAAACTTCAAAGCTTCCAGTGTAAGTGGCCCTTCTATATGGATCTTTATTCTATGACATGACCTTATTTTTGAACACAAAACACATGGGAATTGGCGTGGGTGGCAATATATTGGCATTCACCCAGGTATTGGCAATATCACACATAAACACACCCCGGTTATGCCTTCACAATCCCCACCAAAACAATCGATCAAGTCATACACGTCCCAGTTTCATTATTCATGTCTCATTTTACCTTGTATGTTTTCATCGCCACTTTTATATCACCTACACCATTTTATTACTGTTTATCCTCATTAAAACTTGTGTTTCGTTTCACTATCACTGTCTATCTTTATCATAAATTGTGCTTCACCAGAATCATTATAGTTAATGCATCACCGGTAGCATCAAAAAATGTTTCACTGGCATCATTATCCACACCATTCCAATTCTATCAGTCACAATGAATTGAAATTTCCTTTCACACCACTCACACCATTTGATGTTCGCCTAATAGAATGTCCCAACAGGTCAGCAGGGCCATTTCACAGCATTTCAGGATATGAATACCTGCTACCAAACTTCCACAAAATGGCTAGCCACCATTTTGCAAATTTCCGTTTTGTTATATTCACGTCAAATATTAATATGTCAAATTGACCAATGAACTTGTACGATTTGTTATATTCACTATTTTCTATCGTACAGTTAGTTAGAATTTTAAAACATTGTATTGCTGATGAACAATTCTTGTACACAGTGCAGTAGCTTGTGCACTCAATCTCGAAACCAGAGCCGGCAATCCTCTGTGGAGGCTTGCTGAGGTTCTGGGAAACACCGGCGACTTTGGCACGAAAATCAGTACATTTGGATCCAGTACTCCGCTCGACATTTATAAATAGACATTACTGCCGTCAAACATGAATAATGCCGTTGTTTAAGCTTATTACGACTTTAGTTCTTCAAAGAACACTTGCCATGGTTTTGAATTGTTGTAAGATAATGATGACCTTATATGGTAATGCTGCACTGTTGTTATTCTACATTTTGTTATTAGCATATCAATATCTGAATAGTCTATTGATTTCATATGAGAAGCTAGGGAAGATTAATAAGTTTATTAAAATTATGCTGTGTGTTTCATTGATATGTTTAAACATAATACACAAAGAGAAATAAACTTTATATTAATTTTAAACGATGTTTGAAATCCGAATAACTAAATACGGCTCAAAGTTTGAATAATAATTAGCACTTGAAAAACTTTGAGGGCCGCCCGAGCTTGGGGACAAGGATGTTGAAAAACAACCAATCAGAGCCCGACTTTCACCGGTGTTTCCCAGAGCCTCAGCAAGCCTCCACAGAGGATTGCGGGCTCTGGTTTCGAGATTGCTTGTGCACTGTGTATTATACGGGTTTGCAAGTTTTATATCATGGCAAAATATTTACAGAAGTACACTTTATACCGAGAAAATGATGAACAAATTGCAATGATTTCTGCAAGTTTTACTACTCAAAGTTTGCCTTAGTGTTCTATCTTTGTTAGGCGCTTCAGGATATCTGTGTTGCTGTATTTTAAGCTCTGATGACGATATTGATAATGAAGATTTTGTATCCCATGATAATGGAAGTGATGATACTGGAGATGAAAGTGTGCCACAAACCAATCCTAATGAGAATATCAAGTTTCGATGGACAAAGAAAGACATTCCAATATCCAATGAAAGATTTAGTCCCAAAGTAGATGACATGGAAGAAACCATGCAAGCGGCCTCTTGAATATTCTGGACATTTTTGAACTGATGAAATATCTACTGGATTGTGCAACAAACAAACATATATAACACTCAGAAAACAGGCTCTTGAACACTACCAAGGAAGAAGGAGCTTACTCGTATGCACCTGAAGATGGGTATGATAAAGCTTCCATCATACAAGATGTACTGGTCTCAGAAAATGCAATTCCCTTGCTGTAGCTGACATAATGCCTATGAAAAACTTTGATCAAATCTTCATTTTGTAGACAATAGTGTGATAGAGGAAAATTTTTCTAAGCTGGCTAAGATTCAACCAGTAATTGACATTTTCCATGAACAATGTGTGAAGGTTAAGCCAGAAGAGAGTCATTCCGTAAACAAACAGATTATTCCTGCAAAAACGAAATATAGTGGGATTCACCAGTATAACCCCAAAGAGCCTGTAATGTGAGGTTTTAAGAATCTGGTCAGGGATGGTGCTTCTGGCTTCATGTACGACTTCTACATTTATGCTTGTAAAGATGCAACTATGGATAAGAATCCAGATGTCAAGCTTATTGTTGTGCGACTGACTTATCTGCATTTGCCATCCAACAGCAGTCATCAATTATTTTTTGATGATTGGTTTACAACCAAGGACTTGCTTATTTATTTGAACAATAAGGGCATATTAGTGGTACAGTCCGCTCGAATCAATTACAAGTTTGCTCAATTACAGTCGAACAGAGAAATGAAGGAGGCTGGTCATGGATAATTGGGGATAATTGTTGTCAAATGGTTGGACATTCCATTTCCATACAGTCTATTGACAACATTAGAACGTTTAAGGTTGGCTCACTACAGTTTTTAAAAAAATGGAAAATTCACGATTTAGATGCGTATTTTTGGACAATTACTTGTTGGTAAACAAAAACTACCTTACTTATATAAAACAACATCTAAAGAGATTGAATTTTTGCACAAAAGTTATGCAACTGCCGTTGCTATGGCAACAATGACGTTTCAAGATGGCAGATATTTTGACTTTAAAGTAATTTAACTCGAAAATGATATCGGTAACCCCCAAATTTTATCTTAAAAAATTATTTCTCTTAGTATAATCAATTATATTGACAATTTTAAAAAATTCTGTGGAGCCAGAATTTTTTAAAATCATGTAAAGGCTATTATTCATAATAATTTTTTTTGGCTCCGCAGAATTTTTTTAATTGCCAAAATAATTTATTATACTAACAGAAATTATTTTTTAAAATCACATTTGGGGGTCACAGATCTCGTTTAGGAGTTAAATTACTTCAAAGCCAAAATATCTGCCATCTTGAAACGTCATTGTTGTCATAGCAACGTCAATTCAAACTCTTTTGATGTTGGTTTATATAAGTAAGGTACTGTTTGTTTATCAACAAGTAATAATTTTCCATTTTTAAAAAAAAGCTGTATTGAGCCACCTTAAGATAGCCTGCGTTGCATACTTCAAAACACATGTTTTATCAGTCTGCGAATTAGCAAAACAATCATAGTTCAAATTACCGCTGTGTATCTTGATTTTGAGCTAGTGCAACTTCCGGTATTTCCAAAATGGCCTCTTTCGAACCAAGTGCATGGAAAGAAGCAATGTTATTAGTAAAAAGTCAATTCCAAATCGATATGCTTTTGCCCAAACAGGAAGATGCTATCAGGGCTTTCATGGAGAAGGGGAATCTTTTTGTGAATTTACATGAGTTTTGGAAAAAATTGTTAATTTTTCAATGTATTCCCTTTGTTGCCGATATTCTTTACTCAAGACCTTGTTGCTCAAGTGTGATGGTAGTTATTTCACCACTGAAAGCATTAATGAATGATCAAGTAGAGTATTTAGGAAACCTTGGTATTGCTGTCATCAATATTCAGGGTAAAAACGATCCTGAAATAATTCAGCAAGTGAAAAACGGGACCTATATACTCATATATTGTTCTCCAGAGTGTATGTTGTCAACTACGACTTGGAGGGAAATTTTTCATGATTCATGCTTTAGAGAAAAGTTAGTTGGAGTTGCAATAGAGGAGGCCCAGTGTATAACACAGTGGTAAGTAACATTTGCATATTAAAATTGTATTATTTAATAAATATGTATATATATGGTATATATAATATATAGTGTTTGTACTGATGGCCTGGTCGGCAACTGCCATAAAAAATGCAAACAATTCAAAGGTCTATGTGTATTGGCTGAATATTTGGGTTCTATTTTGTTTGTAGAGGATTGTCTAATGCAAGTAAAGGTCCATTCAGGAAGTGGTATGGATGTGTTTAGGTGAGCTAAGGTCTCTTATTCCCACAGAATGTGGCATAATGGTGGTAACTGCAACTGCAACAAAAGAAACTAGAGAGCAAATATTGGATACCCTTCATCTTCTAGCTGATATAACAGTGATTGAGAAGAGCCCAAATAGAGAAAATTTGTTTTATACCAAAGAATACTTGGATAAGAATGATCCTCTTGAAAAGGAATTGAAACACCAAGGACTATAATTTATTGCCAAACATGCAAGCAATACTCTGTATTGTTTTGTTTTGTTTGTTCGTGTTGGAACGAAAATGTTTCATGGCATGTAGCATGCTGGTACTCCTACATCGGTGAAGAACCACATTTCTGAAAATATGGCTGATGACAATGGACATATTCGTGTTTTAATTTCAACAATTGCTTTCGGCATGGGTGTAAACTGCAAACCTGTCAGGAGGGTCATACATTTTGGTCCTAAAGCTAGTTTCCACTCAGGAAAATTATCTGTGGATTGGAATGGACAAGAAAATTTTTCTTTGTCTCAGGAGCTCTGGGTTGGAATTAATTACTTTAACACAAAGAAAATTTTCTGGTCCGTTCCAATCCACAGATAAGCCTTAAAACTGTTGAATCCTATATTCAAGAGTGCGGGCGAGCTGGTCATGACGGACTACCAAGTGCTTGTATTCTATTATATAATGGGTTACTGTCAGTTTACTGTGACAGTGGTATGAAGCACTATTTAAACTTGGAAGAATGTTTAAGACAGTGGTTAATGTCTCATTTTGGATGCAAAGTTGACTACACAAAATTCACTTTTATGCATGAATGTTGTGACAACTGCATGCAAAATTGTGAGAGTGGTATTCTAGTTGTAGAGAGGTTTGGAGTCCAAAACTTGATGATGAATGTGACATTCCAGAGCTATCCATTAGAAATTCTACTATTTTATCTAATAAACATTGGATTTACCCTGCAAAGTATGAGTAATACACCACAAAATAGCGCTGTCATTTGTTAAAATAAACGTTGTTTGATGTGTCATTTTGTTTACCAAGGAACAATGTTTTTAAACTCAAAGACAGATATACTTTGAGAATGTAAGCTTGAACTCAAATGCCTCGTCTTTGAACACACATTTTTGGCGTTATACTTGTTGGAGTTCGTTGAGCAATACATCAAATTAAAGCTGAGAAACAGAGGTTTCTCGCATAATACATTTCTAGAGACGGTGCTGCTCCTGTCCAGCGTACAAACCCTTTGCATATTTACTTACTGTCTCGTTACCATGGTAACTTACTGCTGCAAAACATTTCGCGCATTGAAGCGGGAAATTAGAATCCTTCTCTGGCTGTCTTTGAGATGCGAATTTAATGCAAATTTATGGCAAACGCCTTGGTTGTCTCTATTCTAACAATTTAAAAAGGAAATACTTGTTGATAGCGAGCATTGCCCAAACTTAATTAAGAAGTCTGACATTAGACCTGAAGAAGTTGCATTTACGCTTCACATTCCGTTCGAACAACTAAACAGTTGGCACAATATAAAGCGAACAACATCGAGTGACTGCTCATACGTACAAATACTGAACATATTTATCGGCAAACAGTATTCTTTCAAGGTTCAGGAGAACTGTTCAAGAGTCGATAAATGCCTATGTATACATTACACGAAAGTAGCAAAACAACCTATCAGGAAACGTGGGGGAAATTGGCAAAATTTACTGGCAAAAGCGAAGAGTGTTGCCATTTGTCATAGCAAACTTAGTACTGTTGCCTTGGTGAATGATTTACAAAGCCAAGTATTGCAGCTTCAAAATGTAAATGCTGCAGTTACTAATGAAAATAAAATATTAAGTGTTAAATGTAAAGAAGCATCAACACAGGTAGGCCAAATCCAAAAGAAAATTGACAAAGCTACTGTTGACTTTAGGGAGCTTAAGCATGTAGGACGGCAACACGACGACGACGGCAACCAATACAATGAATCAATGAAAAGTGAATAAATAATTAAAGTCCCAGGGGAGTTTCAGACGTGGTCGTCGCTCTGTTTACAACGGCAAATCACAGATTTTCACGTCTTTTATACAACGCCTGCATTTCAAGCCGTAACAAGTGCAACTTAAAATTCGGTCAGTAGAACTCTTCCCAAACATAAAGCCAATGTTTTCAGCTTCTTATACTGTATTAAATTCATACGAATTATAATATACGACAAGTTTTCTTTACTATCATTTATTTGAAGGAATTTGTTTTGGCCGTCGTCCTCGTGTTGCCGTCTTGCATGCTTAAGCTCCCTATTGACAAACTTAAAACGGAGAACAACGAATTGCACAATAATTGTTTTTGTTTGTGGAAACACCACGTAAATTTATTACTGCATGAGTGGTATGTAATTACATTACTTATATATCATAACCAAGATTGTTGTTTACAATTTGCCCAGCTTTTCCAGGACTCATTTTATGACACAGGCTATGACTGCCCAGGCTAATCAGGAATGGCTATTGTGCAAGAGAACAGTTAGTTGACCATAATATAACTATGGACAGTTATCGGGGCATAATGGCCAGTCTGAGTTTGCCAATGCCATGCCTTATATTTACATGGTGTTTCCACAAACAAAAACAATTATATTTTATCGCCATGCAAACATTCAAAGAACTTAAATTGTACAATGTAATCGGAACAATTTTGCCCCAAAGAAGATTTGAGGATAAGGGGAAAACATTTGTTGAAGTAGGAAAACGGCAGCAAGAATGCAAACTTCAAATTTTGGCAACAAGAGTGGAGCAAACGCTTTGGTTCAATGAATCTTTTGGACTCTGACTGGATCGTTCCTTATCTTTTAGCTCAGAAAAGAGAATTGAAATCCTATAAGGAACTGTCAGGTGATGAACAGCAAGATATACAGCAGGTCTTATTTATTATGGACAAATTTTGCATTGTGGAAGCAGCATACCACGAGCTAACTTGTTGTCCAGGTGGAGAAGAACTTCCTAGGTCCTATCTTGTTAAACAGTGTAAAGATAATTTAAACAAGCTCTGTTATATCGATGCTCTCAATTTCTATGATGCGTTAAGCACTGTCATTGAAAAGATGGTAAGTTTACTTCTGAAATATAGACCACATAGACTATATACAGCAGACCAGATCCATTTTCAGGAGTCAGTTGCAGAAATCATTGTTGACAGTGAGGATGGTCTGGGGGAAAAGTTGACATTTGTATCTGGGTATTATAATCACTTCTAAGTGATTAAAAGAGTTAAAGGAGTTACTCTTAAAAGAGTTAAAGTAGAAGCCCAGACAATAAGGCATGGCATTGGCAAACTCAGACTGGCCATTATGCCCCGATAACTGTCCATAGTTATATTATGGTCAACTAACTGTTCTCTTGCACAATAGCCATTACGGATTAGCCTGGGCAGTCATAGCCTGTGTCATAAAATGAGTCCTGGAAAAGCTGGGCAAATTGTAAACAACAATCTTGGTTATGATATAGAAGTAATGTAATTACATACCACTCATGAAGTCATGTTATTGTGTGTATATATTAATTTGGTAGCTGGTTTGATACATTTACATTAAATAATTTGCATTAGTGTCAGTTGAACTGGTCACAATGTTTTTAATCGCCAGGGACTGGTTGTTCAAAGCTGGATTAGCGATAACCCTCAGTTAAAATTTAACCTGCTGTTTTAGTTTGTGTATTTCTGCAAGTCTATTTATTTCAAAACTTCAGAGGACACAACTCCTACTGACCCAGAAAAAATTTCTGAAGAAATATTTCTGAATCTATAAACAAGCTGTTGGGAAGTTTGCTTTGAATTTTAAAGTGCTTATAAACCCAAAATGGGTTTTTGATGATTCGGATAGAGCATAAAAAGTTAGTTAGTAAGTTCTAGATTAGTTTTTGCGTTAAAATTTTAGTTTCGGAGATACTGGGCCTCAAAGTCACTATTTTGACAAAAAAGTAGCGCATAGTGGGGGACTGGATCCCAGGAACCTGTCTATTTCACTTTACTATAAAATACATTGCAGTTCGAGCAGGCGAATTGGAAAACGGCTATTTTTTAAGCAAAGAGCGTGAAATGTCCAGCTCAAATTCATTCTCGAGTGTGTATAGCAATGCTTCTGCCAGTATGCCATACGAAATGGAAGCTGAACGTCAAGAAAGCGAGAAATGCAACTTTGAAGTCGATCGTGAGGACAGCCATATTGATGACAACACAGACCTGGAGGCCTATTTTGACGAACCGATTGCCAATGATGTTTGGCTAGAAGACTATTGTCGAAGGCAGGAAGAAAACAACGAAAGAATGGCAGAGTTAGAACTTCGTTGGGATGGAAGCAAGCCTGTAACATCATGGTAATTTTTCGCATTCTTTTGTTGTGATTTATATTTTAAATAGCACGTGGTATGAAATGTTTTGTCTTTCGTGTAGAATGTATATTAATATAGTATACTGAAGTTGTATATTTTTGTGGTTAGGTGCAGTTGTGGCAACTGTAGCATTGAATTGTTGCAGAATGCTAAAGTGTTGTTGTTGCAAAGAAATCGAGTTATGTTTGACAACTTTTCCCTCATATACTTCGCTATTGTTGGGTGTCTATCAGATACAAATGTCTTCACCACAAGACTCAAACCAAACAGATATTCAATGCTTCGGCAAAAACCAGCATATTCCATTGCTGGACTACTGCCAACTTCATTTCTCTAGTAGAACAGAAATACTTGTGCCATTAGCATTACTTTACACCATAAAGTGATATCTTGACCTATAGAGGTACTTACTCAGTTGTGCCATAGTATTGTTAATCTTCATGAGACAAAATCACTTTCAACTTCCATATGAGATCTAGTTATACCTCTACTAATCTAGTAGATTTAAAGCGAAGGTGTTAAAGACATATCTGTACAATGGCAAAATGAATTATAAATGGTACAGTGCGTTAAAATTTTAGTTTCGGAGATACTGGGCCTCAAAGTCACTATTTTGACAAAAAAGTAGCGCATAGTGGGGGACTGGATCCCAGGAACCTGTCT